TTGTTCTAGCACCTGACGCAGTGTGAAGATTTGGTCAACACAACCCCTACCAGGCCGGAATCCCGCTTGCTGCTCTCGAATCAGCATCTCACGAGCCACCGTAAGGCGACGAAGCACAATTGACGCCAACAGTCTCGTTACAACCGATAACAAGGCTGTTGATATTCCCTTGAGGGAAGTACTGCTATCTGTACAGCTGCTGAAAACCCTCCGACTGCCCATGACCGATTTCGTGCTTGTTGGAGCCCAACAGGTAGGCGCATATACGGATTTCTGTCAACCTTAGGTTCCGTTTGAGCCCAAACTGCACGAAGTTAGCGAAATACACTCATTTGAGCACTAATTTGGTTCTAACATGAGACCCTGTCGAATCACTCCTCAAGTAGATGTGCTGCACAAAGGCCGTTTCAAGATCCAGTTGAGGCGATATTACGGCTATCGCCCTATTTTCTCGAGAAAACACTTCTCGTAACGTCACTGAAGACTCTTCGATAGTTCATGACCGAGTTTACCTTAGTATATCGATTAGTTCAATGCTAGCCTGAGGGACAAGTAGGGCCATAACGAGGAAACCGGTCGTGGGCTGTCGAAGAGTTTTCATGATGATGATTTTTAGTGCTTCTTCAAGAAAATATACCGCAATGTCTTGAATGTCATGCTAACGGGAACATTAAGGAGACTTTGTGCACCACGTTCAGCTGAAGAAGATCAGAGACGACAGATTCAGCTAGGACTCGGGTGAGTCTCCCGTTAAAACCAAAACGACGCACAACTTAGCATAACCAGCGAAGTTTGCTGACACCATCATGCATGTTTTCCCCCGCGTAATCTTTGTACTCCCCGTCATTCAGGCTTCAGTCGCTTGTATCATTTCGTACGTCCAACACTGATGTTGCTGTCTTTGATGATGATGATGATTTTCCTCGCTTGATTACGTCAAAACTACTGCTCGTCAGGGCCGTAACTGTACTAAATGTAAACATTTTTTAAAATTGACAGTGGTCACCCAGACATTCGTAAGACTGAGTGCCGATCATCAGTGAATATTCCCGCTTGCTGTTTGTTTCCTCATGTCCGGGTATAACTTCGTCAGTTTCATTTTTCGCCTAGTTAAGCTCCTTTCCTGGTTTTGTCAGTCACAGTTTGTCCACTCCGACAAG